ATCATTTACTTAGTTTCATTAAGTAGCCATATTTGAACATAAAAAATGCCATTAAAAGAATTGTTTTGTTGTATTAATAAATATAATCCCACTATTAAAGGAGTACCACTTTCTGAAAAAAGGCAAAATTTGGAAATAAGTCATGCCTATCAAATGATCTGTAAATCTCATTCTACTCTATCTTTATGAATGTTTTCTTATTATTTGGATACTGTAAAGCTAGAAGAGAATTCTTATCTATTATTTTTATTTTTTTCCTTCTATTTGATTGAACCACATTCAATAGTTTACCCCTCCCCCTTTTTTCCATGAAATCTACCCAAGTGGGCCTCTTGTTTAAGTCAAATTGAAAAACTACCCAAAACTTTTTCATATTGAAGAATTTGTTGCAATTCAACTATCTAAAGACAAGAACGACCATACCTTTCTCTTTTTTGACTATACATGTCTTTATACATGCCTACTATATGATGGTTTTTAGACTGTACTTGACACCCCAATGCATATAAACTTTGCAATAAAATTCAAGAAAAAACAAAATGAATACTCAAGTTAGTGTTTTTGGTAAGAATATTGATTACTTGTCACACCTAATCACAAAAATCCTTGTCATGATGGATAGTTTTAGAAAAATTCTACTTTTTAAACAAATTTTTAACCCAAATATTGAATTTTCAATTAACCATACAGTGCCGCAGACAGGAAAAGAAGTCATAGACTCTTGTAAAGTGAACATTTTGTGAAAATCTTTTCACCAAAAGTTCATTTTATACATATTCTACCTATATGTCAACTATTGAGCCATAAAAATAATAACCCTAAAGAAAAAAGTTACTTTTGTATGTAACTGTCCCTTCAACTTTACACTGATTTTCAATGAAACTGCGCAACTAGAATTTCCATCACAAGAAGAAGATTTTATAGAGGAAAAAATCTTTCTATGTTCTTTTTAATTAAAAATCATGTATGTAATACTACCAGAATCTCAATTTACCTCAAACTGATGTGCTTTATATCTATTTATACTTTTGAATGGTGTCTTGTATAAAAAATCATAATTATTACATAATTTAAGTTTTTTCATTGTAACTTGATACCCCATGATTTTTTTTTCTTAAAAAGTCCTTAAATCATGATGTTTTGTCATTCTGGGCACACAAAAGTCCACATGAGCTACTTCCTTGCAGTGAACATATGAAAAAATTACCCTATGCAGGTTGCAGTCTTGTAATTGACTGCTCCATAGGCTTACATGCAAAACAGCTCATCTTTGAAAATAAAAAAATAAAAAATGCTACATAGAAAAAAAATTTCATTTTCATATCATGTATGTATTAATGTGAAATTGTGATTTAATCGAAAAAAAAGTGGGTCATGCCACGAAGAATAAAAAGTTATGTAACCCTGTTGTCAAAACAATTTTTTTCTACTTTCTGTTTGCTGTTTTTACTAGGCCGCACCACTTCCAGTAAACATGATATCCTTCCACTTTCTTGGATTGATATCCCCAAAAAGATGCAAGTTTTTTTTTAAATCTCTATATATGTTTGAATTCAGCATAAACTTTTAATCAAACAGAAAAAATTGAGTCCAGGAAAAAATTCTGAAAAAAATGGACTATTTTATTTACCTCCATGTTTTGACATGCACCGGAAACTGGAGTTGTAATACAAGACTGGTACCTTATACTTCACGTTAAAATGCCATTTTTTGATTGGCTATACGAGGGTGATAATGTTTTCTCGGGGTAACAATCTGCTCTATCACCCTCTCAGCTATGTGTTATTTATATACTGTTGGCTCTCCCAAAATATTGAAATAACCTGTATAATGAAAATCCCAGGATGTTTGAATATATATTTTCAAAAAATATATTAATTAAAACGGAAGCGCCCTGGCACATGTTACTTTTAAGAAGAAAAGGTGGTATAGGGGATACAACTACATCGGACAATATTTGTCTAGACATTATTTGTCTAGACATTATTTATGGTTAAACATTTTAAACAACGCTAAAAAAAACAAAAACGAAGTAAAATTGTTCTCAATATTTGCAGTGATAATATTTACATCAGTGGTCTTAATTGTCATACTTTAAAGACTTTCATTGTTAACATTTAATTAAGGGATGACTGTAATATTTTGTTCTGTTTATGAAGCATACCTGCCAACATTTCCAAATGCTTGTGAGGGTTTTATGTAGAAGATGGCTCTCATTGTCCAACAAAACCTTTAAAGGAGCCTTCAAATTTATTTTAATGTTGGTTTTTTGCTTCTTCATACTTTCACAAACCTATAGCCATGGTAGATAGATTGTTTTTTTTATAATTTGTGGACAAAATTGCTCTTTCAAAATTTCCATTTGGGAGCTTTCATGGGGGAAATCCCCCACAAATTGTGACAGTTGACAGGTATGATGAAAAAATAACTTTAAAAATGTGGTGCACACTGAGTAACCGGCATAGCGGGTTATTTAAAAGTGCGCACCACATTTTTCAGGTTATTTCGAATAGACAGAAAAAATATTACAGTCATTCCTTATAATTCAATTCTCAATTCCATTTTTAAGGAGTAAATCATGAAAAAAACGTTGATGACGTCACAGTCACCTGACAAAATTATGTCTATGAGCTGATGGACCAAAAACTTTCAGCCTATTAGAAGACGTGTTGCATCCAAAATTAAATTATTTTCAAATAATTCTTGGATACCAATGATATACTTAAAGTGAACTCCTGAATAATTCAAAAAAGAGAAAATAAACATGCGACAATAAGAAGCATTGGTGTTCATTTTAATGATAAAATTTAAAAAAAAAATAGAAATAGCTCTGAATCTAAACTTATTTTAATAGGAGGGGTCGTGGACTTGAATTGGCTAGAACTTCGTCCCTACTCGATAATCGGGATACCTGATATCAGATTTTGACTGAGCAGATCGAGAAATAGATCAAACAAAACTCAACAATTTAGTTTCAAATGTACAACACTAAAGTAAACATAGTTAAATGAAATAAAAATGAATAGTAATTCAAAAGTCACAAGTTCAGTTAAAATGTAAATGCAATCATTGTATTTATATACTTCGCGTTGTGTTTTCCGCAGTAGTAGAATTTAGTAAATCTTACTAAACATATATATACATATATAATGCCAATGTAGTTGCTTTAAAATAACTCGAGTGGAATCAAAATCCATCAACATTGTAATTTAATCTGACAGCATGCAGTGAACGTCGCTCCGTGACCACAGTTCTACAATACCGCAACAATGGAACTTCCAGTTGACATATGATAACTGACGCATAGAGTTGGAAGGGAAGAAATTGACTTGGGATCTCAAAGTTAATTTCAGCAATGTATTAGTCAAACTCACATGGAATGATGTTGAGGAACCCGCTGCAAAGAAAGAGACACAACCCAATAAAGCCATAAAAAAGAAGAAACCTTCACCCTCCAAAGGGAAAAGAGTGGAATGAAAAATGGACAACTGCTGTTTTAAACTCATCAGAAACCGCCACAACAGCCTTGCAATGGTAGACTCGGCGACCCAAACAGCCGCACTAGACATGACACAGGAAGCAGGTAGAACCACCAACAGACAAAAAGTTAAATCAACTAGGGAGCAATATACGCAATACAAAAAGACATCTGACGAAATATCATAAGAAAAAAGTAAAAAAAAGTACGAAAGTAATAGACAGTCCGTATATACCAAACAAGAAATGCATTGCAATACGTTTATAATACAAAGATGATATAACCAAGTATTCTGAGGCATTTGACATCGATGATCCGAGAGTTTACACTATATGTATTTCCTCCAAATTAATACTACAGACCTACTGGAGATCGTCCGCCAACGCCCTATTTAGAACCACTTAATGAACAGCAGAATAGAACAAAGATGAAATCTAGACGAAAGTTAGAAGATTTGGAGTAAATTTCTATAGTACAGAGTGCGCAATACACGGCTTTAAATTAGCAGGTTGTAGAATGTTAAAAACCAACAACCACCATCAATCGACGGATTCCTGCGAGCTGTAGCCTTATTTAGACATTGAGTTAATCTGAATTTCAGTAGAGTGTAACAAGGTGGCATTGTTCATGTTGTACTGCCGGCTCATATATACACGTGGAGAGTGTGCGTTCTTCAAACCGGAGCTAATTATTGCTTATCAAGTTTTAAGGGAAAACTTATCACTTTCAGAGATGTATGATATACTAGTCGATATCATCGGTATTGGAGAAATATTGAATAAATAAATATTCCGGCATCAGATCAAGGATTTGAATAAAAGAAACTTTACAAATACTTGATCAAGTACATAAAGAGACTTGAAATTTAAAATACTTGTATAGCCAGTTAAATTTGTAAACTCGGCTACTTTATTTTTTAGTTTTGATTGGCTGCCGAATTTATGAGATTTAGTCATTGCTTGGAAGTTGATTCTATTCCAGTATTATGATAAGTTGTAAAAATAGTAAATTCTGAAATTTTATTCCTTATAATAACCTCATTATGTCACCGATTGCAAATGGGATTATCAACTCTTATCTTGTAAGTTATTTCAATATCAAAATTAAAATTGAAATTAAACTGAAATAAAAAGGATACTAACGGTCAGAAGACTTTGCATCAATTAGGTTAATCTCACTTTACAGTGACGGATCCGGGGTGGACCCCCTTTATTTTTGACGATCAATGCTTTTGAATGGCCGGGGACATATGATTGGAACACCCACCCCCACCCCTTCTAAAAATGGCTGGATCCATCCCTGCTTTATGCAGTCTTATTTTTCTTTTGCATAAGGATTCTCTGAGTATATATAGAGTCCATAGCAGAGATCTCTACTGAGATTTTTTTTATTTGAATTGCTTACAATCATGCGTACAGGCCGAGCTACTCATGGACCGAATCTACCTCTAGCGCAAAATATCCATCACATGACATAACACCGATCCAATCAGATACAGCGATAGAAATCTCATTAGACGTCATGAAAAGTCAAGTGTGCATGTTATCGATGACGATGAAAGAATAAATCTGTTGCATTCCCAAGACAATACTATCACAGCTTCAGTCATTACCAACAGGTAAGAAAACTATTTATCTTATAACTGATTTAGTAATCACAATTTTAAATTGCGCAAAGTGTTCAGAGATTGTGCCTAACTTGTCAGTTTGCTGGATGTTTTGATTTGTGAGCATTCGAGCGAATCGGGTATTTAAATTTACGTTTCAGTTTGAAAAATGCACGTTTTGTGGGTCATTAAATATTGAGGCACCATGCAGTGTTAATACAAGGATTTACATAGTCATATCTTACAATATAAATCCTTGGTTAATATATCAGTAATAAATATATCATTATTTTGACCGTAAACGGTAAAGTGAATAATTGAAAATGGATTTGAGCAAATTGAGGGGACGATCATTTGTTTCTCAGGGGATGGAGTGTTGGCAACTTGACAGATTTTGGAAATAGATAGTATTCCCTCTATTAATTTAGAAATAAATACACTTGCCTTATCACACATATCAAGGTTTTGTATACAAATCCTTGCACATATACATGTATGAATAAATATTATGGCCCAAAAATGTTTAAAATATTTTTTGGATGAGCAGACATGGAAATTAATATTCTGGCCCTTGAGTGAACAATTCAATTCAAAGCTTTATTCATAGTCGGCATGTCACTTAACAAATAAATTTAAGCTCTTTGAGCTTTTATAATTGACAAATACATACATTTACACAATAATCATACAATATTTTATGATGGTATGATACTAAACCCCTAACGGGAGGGATTGTACTTGATTTTCATATGATGAAGACATAATCTTTCAATCAGTTTAATTGATGTCTGGAGCTGGCATGTCAGTAACTGCTAGTAGTCCTTTGTTAATTTATGTATCATTGTCATTTTGCTTAGTTTCTTTTATTACCTTTTCTGACATCGGACTCGGACTTCTTTTAAACTGAGTTTTACTGTGCCTATTGCTATGTGTTTCTTTATTCTACATTGGCTCGAGGTATAGGGGGAGGGTTGAGATCTCACAAAACATGTTTAACCCCGCCGCATTTTTGCGCCTGTCCCAAGTCAGGAGCCTCTGGCCTTTGTTAGTCTTTTATGTTTTTTAATATTAGTTCATTTATATGTTTTGGAGTTTAGTGTGACGTCCATTTTCACTGAACTAGTACATAATTTTATTGAGGGTCCAGCTGAGGACCACCTCCGGGTGTAGGATTTTCTCGCTGCGTTGAAGACCCATTGGTGGCCTTTGGCTGTTGTCTGCTCTTTGGTCGGGTTGTTGTCTCTTTGACATATTCCCCATTTCAATTCTCAATTTTACAATACTAATATTAAAACATAAAAGACATAGAACATACATTTCATGCACATTTAGGCTGAACTACTTTTAAAACTATATATTTTATACATGCATGAGCACTAAGCTAAAAGCAACATAAAAAATAAAAAAGCTCAGCAAATAAACACAAAAAAGCAGCACTATTATGTTTCAAAGCTGTAACATAAAACATAAAAATAAATACTAAGCACATGCATTGCAATGGCATGAGTTGCCATTCCATGAGTTCATTAGACTCTTGAATAGGGTTACAGATGTTTCATTTCTAAAGTGGTTTGGCAGCAGAATATCTGAAGGACTTTAAGCCATACCTTGTAGTTCTTACAGCAGGTATTTCCGCTAAGTTTTGATATCTTAAAGAATATTTTGTTTCTTTAAAATTGAGAATGGAAATGGGGAATGTGTCAAAGAGACAACAACCCGACCATAGAGCAGACAACAGCCGAAGGCCACCAATGGGTCTTCAATGAAGCGAGAAACTCCCGCACCCGGAGGCATCCTTCAGCTGGCCCCTAAACAAATAATGTTTAATGTTTATTTGATCATGGAGGTATACTGGATTTCCATTATTGACTGTTCTAAATACATCTATTGCCATGGTTCTTAGGCGTCTTACTTTAAGTGATGGCATTTTTGATTTCAAAAGTAAGTCTTCATACATGTATGTGCTATTGTAATCCTGGTAAATGAAGCGGAGTGCTCTTTCTAGTACTTTTTCAATTTTTGTTGTGTTTGCCTAGCTGCAGAAATGCCAGGACAATGAGCAGAAATTAAAGTTTGACATAATGAAAGAGTGATATATTGTTAATTTTCCAAGTTTATTCAAGTATTTGCCAAGTCTTTTTATGTTGAATATATGTTTTATGTGAACATGGTGAAGATAAATGATATGGCCACTTAGAAATTTAAGTTGGAATTATTTATTGTATAGACATGTACATGTACTAACCCTCATCAAATTTCCTAGTCCATGTAGTCCAAATAATAAATAATAATTTGGACTGCAATTTACAAATTTCCCAGCTCTTCCCTCCCTGATAATTTGTGATCTTTCCCTAAACAACAAATAAAGGACATTTCAGATAAAAGAGAAATTGGATTTACATGTACATGTATCACACAATTATCATCTAATTTAGCTGGAACTATTATCTACATACATGTAAATATTCCCAGATTTTAGATAGAGTATGACCAAATTTACAAAATATCTCAAACAATTCTGATTCAACACCTCCTGGTTTGTTAAAATCCAACATAAATGTCTTCATAATATTTTTTTGAAAAAATAAGTAATAACATATGAAATATGTAGGCAAAATATTGTATGTGAATATCAGTTTAAGCCATGCGCAGAAGTTTGATTTTAGAGCCAAATAATAAGACCTTCCAAGCAGTTCAGTTCTATAATTCATACATCTTTTGGGATTTTCTTTGTTCATATAGCTTCTCAAGTTTTGGTGTACTTATGAGGGTGTGGATGTGGGTTTACAGAATAGAGAATAATGGACAAAAAATAAAAAGAATAGAGAAAAATTGACAAAAAAAATAAAGAATAGAGAATAATGAGGTGATAAAATATAAAGAATACCGGGGTAGAAAATAATGGGCAAAATGTATAAAGAATAGAGAAAAATGGCTTTAAAAATTTAAGATTAGAGAAATGAAGGACCCTCCATCCAAACCTCACTAATTAGTCCTTGGCTTTCAAATTTTTTGCTTCAAATAAGTTTTCCTGAAGAAGGTTAATCAAGAAATGCACTAGTGACTACAGACACAACTAAGTAATAAGGTGTTATTCATTTTGAATTGGGCATTAGTCAGGCTATCAAATTTAAACACAATTAATATTTTACTTGAAATGAAATGTTTGACAAGTCTCTTAAGTCTGTCATATGCATGTACATGTAAGTTTCACAAGTACATGTACAGAAGTCAGTATTAAATGATGTTACATAAATTTGACCTTGCATAATAATGATTACAAATGTCAATGTTATGATAAATTGCAAAATATCAAACATGTCTTTATTTGAATTATGTAACGTTAAAGGTATAGAACCACTAATTCAGGCCCGGTCTGAAAGAACATACAAGAAAGTAGTATATATTTTAAACAAAATAGTTCCTACGCATAGCTGTATCTTTGTCAATAGTGGGAATATTTGGGTAGTTATACGACCGCAAAAAAATTTTGTGGTGGTATATTGGTATGACGTTGGCGTCGTCTTCGTCCGGCGGCGTCGTCGTCCGAATACATATTGGTTTTCGCACTCTAACTTTAGTTTAAGTGAATGGATCTTTTTGAAATTTGACCATAAGGTTAAATACCACAAAAGGAAGGTTGGGATTGATTTTGGGGGTTTTGGTACCAACAGTTAAGGAATTAGGGGCCAAAAATGAGCATTTTCTAGTTTCCAGACAATAACTGTGGAACGGTGTATGGATCTCTCTGAAATTATACTACAAGTTTCCATACCACAAAGGGATGGTTAGGATTTGCTTTGGGGGGTTATGGCTCAAACCGTTTAGGAATTACGGGCAAAAAAGGGGGAAAAACAAGGTTGTCCTGGTTAATGGACAAATACTTTAGTACAAAACATAATTTAAAGCAGTGTAAGGAAGATAAATCAAATACATCATTGAAATTATCTCCCTTACACTGCTTTTAAATTATGTATAAAGTAATGGTTAATGAACAATAAAGATAATCTAAAACAGTGTAAGGGAGGTAATCCAAATACAACGTTTTGGTTACTTCCCTTACACTGCTTTTAAATTATGTTTAAAGAAATGCATATTTATAAAGGAAGACCAGTAAAAATATCTGAAAATGTTTTCATCTTTTTTTTTTACAAAAAAATCCATATGAAAGATTTGACACTATATTTTTATTAATTCTATTATAAAATAGATAGAGTTAGCACTATGGTAAATTTAAATGGGTAATTATGGTTGCCAACTCCATTGGAAATTTGAATTGAGATTATGACCATATCTTGAGGGAAAGAATTTTTTTGGGGGAAAAAAGGGGGGGGGATAAAAAGAAATTGTGGGGGGCCAATTTTTTCTCATTTCAGATTTCAGAAATTAAAAAGAATTATTCTTCAAATATTATTTTTTTTTCAAATTTCAAATATTGAAAAATTTCAAGAAGTAATCTTTAATTGCACAGTATGGCGCATTAGATTTGTAAAATCTTTGATCACATTTATTTATTTGTTATGCCGAATCTAACAGTGTATTTAGATTTTTAATTTTGGGTCCAGTTTTCAAATTGGTCTACATTAATGTCCAAAGGGTCCAAAATTAAACTTTTTTTGATTTTAGCAAAAATTGAATATATGAGGTTCTTTGATATGCTGAATCTAAACATGTATTTAGATTTTTGATTTTTGGCCCAGTTTTCAAGTTGGTCCAAATTGGGGTCCAAAATTAAACTTTGTTTGATTTCAACAAAAATTGAATATATGGGGTTCTTTGATATGCTGAATCTAACCATGTATTTAGATTTTTTATTTGTGGACCCCGTTATCTAATTGGTTCATATTGAGGTCAAAAGGGTCCAAAATTAAACTTTGTTTGATTTCATCTAAAATTGAATTATTGGGGTTCTTTGATATTCTAAATCTAACCGTGTATTTAGGTTTTTAATTTTGGGTCCTGTTTTTTAAATTGGTCTACATTGAGGTCCAAAGGGTTCAAAAATAAACTCA